TAAGGCTTTGTATGAGCTATTTGGCCAAATAAATGTAATAAAAATTAATATTTTCTATAATTTTATCAGCTAGAGAAAGGAAGGGAATGAAAGAAGGGAAAATTTAAAATATGATTTTTTTATATGGCTTTTTGAGATTAAACTGTTTGCTAAGGGCTGACTAGGTCAATCAAGGGCCTAAACGAGATGTGTAAGTAAAGTCACATAGTTAGCTCACATGAAAGCTGCATGTAAATATAGAGAAAGATAAGGCTGTATATACTTGAGGGAAGAATTATGTTAGGCCAATCACCACGCGATTCCCTCACTTTATGAGAGATAAATTTGGTAATTTACTGCTCGCTGAGGCCAACAGTGGGTTTGCTTGCTTTCTAATGTCTTGCACAATTATTTGGCCTGTTATGCTGGGGCAATAATTAAATGCACGAGCTTTGGAATCAAACAAATATAGTTTAAAATTTGGTCTCCATCACTCACTAACTTTGAGGCTTCAGGCAGATGGCTTAACCTCTCTGAGCTTCTTGTTTCTCATCCATAATAGAGGGACAGCAAAACCTACTTTGCAGGGTTACTAGAGAAAATAACTGGATTAATGTATGATTTGTGTTTTGCACATACTTTCAATAAATAGTAATAGTAAAAAGTATCTTCCACAGTATATGTAATAAGATCAACATTTACAGCTACTTCCTTTCTTAGAAAGAAATGAGTGGGGCACCAAGCAATGTCCAGAGGTGGTCTGAGGATTTTGGAAATGTGCAAATAATATTTCCACTTTTGGACTGGCCCAACTCCAGGTTTGCAACAGTTCATGTTTAAAAGACTTTGAACACTATGTTTTTAATGTTCTCTTTTTTTAGGAGGAATTCCCTTCTTCTTGCAATTTATCTAAACGAAGGAACTCAATTTTTACCAGCAATACAATACAATATTTCTTGCAATATAACTGATTTTTCAGCTTCATTTTTGGAAGTTTTTGTTTATTCTCATTTTATAAAAGATAACTATGAGAATTATTGGGATTATTAAATAAGAGCTGGACATTGTTCCTTCATTTATTTATTTATTTAAAAGTAGAAAGGTTTATGAAGATATAAAGCCTGGGAATTTCTAAAGATAACTCCACCTTCATTTTTTTGGGAGGAAATTATTTTTGTCTATCCTAAACAATGACGCGTCACACAATTGAAAGTTGGCACGTTTTTGGTAAACAGCATTTTCCTGGGAGTGTAAAGTCTGCTGCATTTTTCTTTTGAGCCAGACTTCTCAGTATCATTTTGATCTGCAAAACATCAAACGTTTCCTCTATTGTATTATATTTACGTCTTTGGAGAGTCTGGATGGAAAGGAATTTTAATTTTAATTTAATGAATAGTTGACAATGAAAACGTCAACATTTTTACTGCAGTATCTGGTATTACGACTGGCCACAGGGCAATACACATAGAAAACACAATATACTTAGCTTTGATATTTCCGGAAGATATATCCCAGACATTTAAAAAGACAAGAGGCTAAAAATGTAAGGCAAAAAATGAATACCTGTCCAATTTCTAAATTCAGTCAAAGAGAAAAAGAAAATCCTCAATCACCCTTTAATGGGGTCATTATTTTTTTTTTAAATCCAGCTTTCAACAGATCCACTTGCTTTTCCTACGGAGAATGTGAGTTCTGAGAGTAGCACCTAGGAGTAGCTCCAACTAAGATGAGGCCGACAAAGAAAGGCCAAGAGATGCTCGCTTCCCTCCCAGGCGCAGAACAGTCCTGAGCGTCATCAGTGGGCCAGTTCACTGCAGCATTGACACGCAGGTTTATCTCCTGCAGCCCTTCTGTCAGAAAGACAACCTCGGTCTTGGGGACAAAGAAGAATTAGGGCTTTGGCATATTCTCCAATTCTCCTCCTTACTAGACATCTTTAAAATATGTCACCTATTAACCTCCAGGGAATGCTTTCTGACTAACCAACAGTCTTAGCTGCTTCTATCCTGATGAAAGAAACCCTGGTTCAAGAAGTTGTTAAAGCGCTAAAGACATATTTCTGACTTTTTCTGCAAAAGTGAACAAATACATCACAACATTCGAGGACTGAAATGCTCAAGACAACAAAAATTATGATTTGGCTTACAGTTACTACAACCTATTCTGTCTGTAATCCTTGTGATATATTGTTTCGCATATGCTTTGCCAAGTGTTGATCCTCAATAAATATGCAACACTGACAAGTCAGAAATGTTTTCTGTGGGAAATGTAATTTATTTGTTTCAAAACATTTACATACTTAAACTTACATAATTACATAAAATTACAGTGCTTTTTTGATGTTCATAATATATGGCTTTATTTTTAATTGAAGAGGAAACAGAATTAGTAAGGGTATGAAGGTGCTTTGAGAAAACACATTGTGACAATGTATTGAAAAAACTGTAATTCAACACAAAGTAGGCAGGGGTAATGCACTCTACTCAGATCTAGGAAATGCTGCTAAAATCTTGCATAAATTCTGGGTTGTCAGTTACTTTCTTCCATCCCTCTGTAGGTGTCATTCAACTGGTTACCTTGGTTGTTAAAATAGTCTCTGTTCAGTTCCACAGATGTGCCTAGTTGTAGATTTATTTTGAGGTATCCAGACTAGGATTTATAGTGTTTCTCAAATTTGAAAGCTCACGTCTTTCATCAGTTTTGGAAAATCCCTTGCCATTATTTTGTCAAATATTACTTCTTTTATATTCTCCTTTTGCTTCTCTGCAAACATCCATTAGACATATATTGGACATTTAAATATTGCCCTGTCTGTGTCGTAAACTTTCTTTCACATTTTTGGTCATTTTGAGCTTCTAGGTAATTTCCTTAGCTCTATTTTTTTAATCCAGTAATTATTCAGTTGTGTCCAGCCCACTATTAAACCTGCCTAATGAGATTTTCTTTCTTATAATAGTGCCTATATAATAATTATTTCTAGGACTCTTTGGTTTAAAATTTTCAGTGGATCAATTTCTACTGTTTGTTGCTTCTGATTTTTCCTTCTGTGGTTTACTTGTGTGTCTCATGATTTTGACTCAGGAGTTTATGTTTGGTTGGGCTTTTCTGTAGAAATTCTGTAAAATAGATGCTGAGGGTGTATGCATCCAAAAAGGTTTTGCCTTTGTTTTTGTAAAGTGCCACCAGGCCTTACCAACCCAGTATTACTTTTTATGTGAATTACTCCACTTGGTATTTCCTGGTTTTTGAATTCTGAATACTCAAGAGAACCTTTTTATTTACCCCAAGAGAAGCCTGGACTAAGACAGATTAATTTCCTGCCATAGTCCTATTTTGGTAGGCGGGTTTATTTTTGTGGTTAACCTTTCCACTGGAGGCACAGCTCTTGCAGGTGCTCGCTTTGTGGAAGGTCTCAGTTCCAACTCCTGGCTTCTGGGAGTCATGGGCTTGGCCTCCATTTCTTGTATTGTCATTAAAACACAAGTAACCTGTGATTCTCTGATTTTATGCCTTTTATTTTGTTTTTAACTGCTGCAATTTCCTTTACTTTTTTTTTCAAGCTTAGCTATGCCTGTTATTTCATATTTTACCCAGTTAAACCGATTTTGTAATGGAAGGTCCTCAGGTTACCTAGCCTGCCATATTAGCTATGCTCTATGGATGTATACACACAAAGAATACACCTTTTAACTTGGAAGAATCTTTTCCTATCACGAAGGTAAAATGCCATGAATATTAAACAACTGTTCAGGAATTGTCAGTGACTTAATATGTTTGATAGATGAGAGTGGGTGAAACAGCTAAGATTATGGGTTATTTTTATTATGCCACTTCAGGCTTTCATATAAGATTCATAGAAATGCATTCATTTAGTCAACTATGTAGTTAATTAGATATATGCCTTCATCTACTGGCCCAAAATATACTTTTTCCCCCAAAATAAAATTGAGGGGAAAAATCCATCATCTATTGTAGCAAAAATGGAAGAAAACAACAAACTTTTAAAAACTTATGAATTGCTGTTGTGAGCCTGGAGTTTCTTGATTAGCAGTTGGATTATATTATACTCAGGGTTACAACTCATCAAAGTGGTAAAAGGAAAAATTCAGTCTTCTTAAATTCTTATTGTCATGGGGAAGCCCTGATGTAGTAATTTTGACAAGACAACAAACACAAAAGCTGACTAAAATCAGACTGTAAATTATGCCAACAAGGGGACAAGACACCCTAAAATGTAAGTGGTACCCAGGACAGCACCCTTTGGGAATGACACAATTTTATTTTTATGATGCAAAATTCAGAATGAGTATTCTGTCTGTAAGTTAGGGTCTTAGAAAAGATGACTAGTGTGGAACTATAATCTAATTTTGTCTCTTCCTTGGAATTCTTATAAAGATATTGAGAAAGTTGCTTGGCTTTAATAACTTCCTTCAAATATTTCTTCAAATCCCACCGTATGTAACACTGCAGCTTACCTTTCCTCCGCAGCCCCTCCCTGCAGCTCAGCATACCCCAGTCTATTTTTTTTCTATAGTATTTGTCCTTTCTAATATTTTTATGAATTTATTATGTTTATTGTTTTTGTATGTCTCCTCCGCCACCCCCAAGGAAGTTAAAATCTATCAAGGGCAGGGATCTTTGGGTGTTTTGTTTACTAATATATTGCCAGAAACTAAAATAATACCTGTCACAAAAATTACTTGAGATAAAAATGAATAATTTTTTTCCCCATGGCCCATAAATCAGGGTGATAATTCATGGCCCATCATTTCCTTACTGAGACATATGGATACGTATGAGAAATGTGTACTCAATATATATTGATTTATTTGAAAAAAAGTCGTTATTCATAGAATACCCCCAATTACCATTTTGGGAAGCATAAAGTGACCTACTGTTTACATGCCTTAATATTTCCATCTTAAATCTGTTATTAAGAACATGGCAATTTTTCTTACAGAATATGTCTTCCATAGCAACAGAAAAATATGTAACATTTAGTACTTGGGTAAAGATCATACCTCATTTTTTTCTTTGAGTTTTGTGATCATAACAATCACGGGACTATCTTCCTGCCAAACCATCTGCCAGAAATCATTCACGGTGTTGATCATGGGGCCCTGCGTGGCGATGAACGCTTTCTCTTCGCCACCGTAGCCCTAGTTCCAGTAAAGACACAAAAAAATTGGCTTTGAAATTCATGCCTTGTACTGAAAACTTAGGTAGACTATCTTCAGAACAAAATAGCTCTGCTCGTCCAAAAGCAACACAGATTTCTGCGGCTTAACCGATTCCAGGGCTGCACTCCTTGCCCTTTGCCCAGAGAGCCAAGCGCAGCTTCCAGTGTGGCCGCCCTAATGCCCGAGTGTCACCAAGAGCCCCGCGGGGCCCTGCAGCCCCTGATGCACAGGAGAGGACTTGCTGTGAAAACCCCACTACAATGCTGATTATGACTAAGCCAACAAAAATCCCTTGCTAGTAACTGAGTTAAGTCAAAATTAATCTAGTCTAAGGAAAAAAAATATAACCTACAATTCCAGACAGTAAGTTGACATGCTCATCAGAAAGAAATTGATATTTACTTACCCTAATATAATTAGCATTAATGTAAGTGCTCAAAGAATCAGTGACATGTTTTGGTCTTAAACACACTCGGCTGAGGGGATCTAATGGAGAAAACAAGAAAGGATACATCAAACCGATACATTTAATGTGTTCAACCGTGTTAAATACATTACTCTTTTAAAGTTTCTTAGCAGCACCACCACCAGTGCACAGTACACCTGCTAGCGCGCGTGCTGACTGCTGGCCTGCGGCAGTGTTCGTTGCAGTGCCCGTGTGTCTGTGTCTTGATGCATCCGTGTTTCTTGAGGGACATTTGGGCCCATCTCGACCTTTGTTCTTCCTGTAAATCTAACCGGTGAGCCTGAGATGGTGAGTTTGTACTTTATGCCATTCTTTGTGGGTTTCTGATTCTCGACCCCATTTCTCACCTTTGCTCCTTTTCTTGCTCTTTGGGTTTGGAATGTGCCCCAGATCTCCCTCCTCTCGTCTCCCTTCTGTCCTGCCCAGTGACAAACCTTTGGTCTGACCCAAATCCCATCTCACTACTTGGAGGACGCCGTCGTCCGTTACCATGTGTTTGTTCACCGACAGCACAAATAATCTGATGTTGAATAGATTATTACAGTGTCTTAAATTCTAAAACCGCTTTCCATCAAGAAGTTGAAAGGCTCATTGTGAACCGTGGTGCTATGGAAAATATGGTAGTTATTTTTACCAACATTTGCATACATGAATTAAGATCAAATCAGCCCTTTATGACTTCTTTAACCTGATACATTCTGAGCCTCTCGAAGGCAAGAATGGAGAGCTTTTATTATCTCGGTAAGACCCAGTGTCTTGCACAGCGCTTATATATACAGCACACACTCAATAAATGTCTGCGATATTGATTTAAATAGTCCCTTCCATTTTTCAAAAAGCTGGTTTTATGCATTCCCCTCTAGCAGTTGTTCTGTTTTTCTTCTTCTCCAGGCAGGTAAATTCTGAGGGTTTTTATACCCGCTGTTTTACCTCCTCACCTACAATTCCAGTCTCGTGTACACTGCAATCTGTCCTAACCCTAGTCTTACGCGGGCACTGCTCTCGCTCATGTCACCCCCGACCCTTTTGTTACTAAACCCAATGAGCCCACTATGGGTGTGTTTTTTTTCATGACCTCTCTGTGGCATTCAAAAAATATTGACCATATATATCTTTTTTGGAGTTCTCTCTTCCCTTGGATTCTGGGTCACAACATTTTGAGTTTCCTAACTCTTCGATGGTCTGTTTCAATCTCTTGCTTATTTCATCTGCCCCCTTAATGTTGCTAAATCTAGGATCCAACTTGGCCCACTTTTACCCTCATTTGACACTTCGTTAGGTAATGGATTTATTTCCATGGCTTTAAGTATTACCTATATCCTGAGGACTCCAAAATGTTTATCTTAGGCTTGACTACTCCCCTCGGTTATAGACCATGTTTTTCTATTTCTCCTTTCCTTCTAGACATACCACAGGTTTGCGAGACTGCACGTGCCCCATGCGTCCTTGTTAGCCTTCTGTGGCTCTGTTAGGTGGGCCACCGCAGCTCCAGAGCCCATGTTGGAAAGCTCGTAGTCCTCCTGGACTCGGCTTTAATCTCCGGATCCAGTTATTCAAATGCTCTCTGCTCTATCTCCTGACATGCTCTGGGGCCTATCTTTGTGCTCCCTTTCCATGGCTTTCCTCTTAGCTGGGGCCTGAGCGTGCCGTCCGGTCTTACTGCTTTCAGTCTTGTTTTCTAATCCATCGTTTTTCATAGCTGCCAAGGTGGTCTTTGTAAACAAAACCTGATCACATCCTTCCCTTGCGTGAATGCCACAGCCGTATTCCCCAAACTCTTACCTGTAGATCATTTCTTCTGTGACATATAGAATTAGGTCATGCAATTTGTAAATGAGGTCGTCTTTAAAAGAGACGTTCCAGTAATCAAATAAATACAGGAAACACCGAATTAAACAAAGTTGGACCACATTCCTTCTCCTGCAGGACTTTTCAGGGATTTTATTATGCTCATGGATTTTGTGAATTTCCAAGAAGGTATTACATATAAACTCGTTTGACCACTGAATTAATCTTATTTAGAATACTTATTGACAATTCAGACAGCCCAGAGCAGCATAACCCAAGAGAACTTTCTGTGATCATGGAAATGTCTCTCTCTGCACTGTCCAAAATTATAGCCGCTAGCCATGTGTGAGATGAGCCATGAGCACTTGAAATGTGGCTAGTATGAACTGAAGAACTGACGNGGCACTATCCAAAATTATAGCTGCTAGCCATGTGTGAGATGAGCCATGAGCACTTGAAATGTGGCTAGTATGAACTGAAGAACTGACGTTTTAATTGTAGTTAATTTAAATTTAGATTTACAGAGCCCCATGTGACCAGCGCTTGAGCTGCTGGACAGTGCAGATCTAGAGAATGAAACAGAAACTCCTTAGCGGTGCAGCAGGTCTTTATCTTTCCACACAGCCCCGTCAATAGCCACTTTCCCACATATTCCATATGTTCCCTTTCCACAAACCTAAGGAAATCTCCCAAATATTCCACGTTCTTGCAGATTTTATGCTTTTGCACATATTATCCCCCTGCCTTCTTTGCATGGTAAAGTCGTCTTCATTCTTCAGGGTTCAGTTCACGAAGCACCTTCTCGAAGCCTTCCCTGGACGTCCCAGGCAGAATCAGGCATTCCTTCCCCTTTCAGGCTCCCTGAGTCTTATTTCAGCATTTACCCTCCCATATGTCAGATACTTAAATATCCGCCTTCCCTCAGTGGACNTGTCCCGTATGTCAGATACTTAAATATCCGCCTTCCCTCAGTGGACTGAGGTGAGCTCCTTGGGTGCAAGAGCTATATTTAATTAACTTTGTATCCTTTGTGATTTCTATTTGGTATGTGGCTCATAAAATGTTTAATGTCAGAATTAATTTCTATTAGAGAGAGTAAAACACTGCTTTTGACTTTCTAGATTTTTTTTCTTAGCAAAGGGGACAGGAAAACTTTCATTCCTTTTCAGTATCCACTGATTATTAGAAGTTTCCACAAACACCCTACACCACTCAGCATATAAAATTTCCTTCAATTTTATAATATCGGCAATGTATATGATTTACTCAACCCTATAAACTGCTTAGAAGCAGATTCCCTGTCAAGCTAAATTAAGTTCCAAGTATTTAAAGGTTTCCAAACACATATATATTTTTAAAAACAAGAATACAACATATGACTGAGTAGGAGAAAATACAGGGTTCCAAGCAAAGCCTTTTAAATGTTATCTTGGACTAATAAAACAGCCAAAGATTAAAATTTTTTTTATCATCATCATCATTTTAATGTTATTATTTTCATCACTTCTGTTTTAAATTTTCATATTATGCATTTAAGTCTACATATTAGTCAAATTCACTATAATAATTTTTATCAGAACAGATAATTCTAGGTTCTGTGTTCCATATTTAGCATACCACTTATGATACCTCTGGGTAGTATCAATAACAATTACAAATATTTATTGAGCACTGGTCATTTGCCTTCCTCTCTTCTGTCCTTTTTATTTTCTCCCTTCTC